ATATATACGTGGGCACGTGGTAGCGTAGTTGACTGAGGCTCTATGCTACAACCCGGAAGGTCACGGATTCGATTCCCGATAAGGTTACTGGATTTTTCAATTGACCCAATCCTTCGAGCCGCACTATGACCCTGGGGTCGACTCAACCTCTAACAGAAATGAATACCAGGAATCTTCCCTGAGGTAAACTGCGGCAAGCGCGTAAGGCTAACAATTTCACCGCAATCTGTGAGCCGATTATCTAGAAAATGTGGGAGCCTCTACGTCTCAGTCCTATGGGTCTCCACGGCTTGTTGTAGGGATGTCCAGCGCACTGGAGGAAGAGCGATGCGGCTCAAGCAATGGATATGCAGCCATCCCGTGGTGTGGTTTTCTAATTACTTTATGTACGAGTTCTTTTTGTTGTCCTGCAAAAGTGTATAAAAGTAGATCCAAAGCTCCAACCGGCGCAACGTAAGTTATGAAATAAAAAAAAAATCCTATTGAATAAATGAAGAACCGATCAATTTTAAATCTCCGTCTATCATTCGGTAATGACCGCTGTACTAAAGAAAATAACCCGCACTGATTGTCAGAGCCAGGGCTAGACGCGCGCACTTCCCGGTCGGGACGATGTTATGAGCGTTGCCCACTCATTCATCTGCAAAACGTATGATAATGTCCGCTTTGGTGGTCAGCAGTGGCGGGGAAAGTGACCCTTACCGCCCCTTCCGTGAGAAGGCGAGCACGGTGAAAGTGATGGTTAAGTGCCACCGCCTGCTTCATCATCTCCAGGGTGCGGTCCTCTATATAAACCGCAGATGCATTATGGAAGCAACATTCATCTCTTTTTAGTTGTCCACATCGTGAACATGCGGTTCTTGCTGGTAAGTAAGTGCACATCAACTGCTGTGACTACTTCATATTTTCGTTATGATGCTCATTTCCTGAAGATACAGTTATATTGTTTAACGTGCCCTCCATTTCTCATATATTAGTGGTCATACCTGAGGAACACACACTGACTTTGTCTGAGAACGGGGTTCTGAAGAACATATTCAGCGTAAAAGAAGTGAATTGACAGGATGCTGAAGAAATTGAAGACATTTGTAATTTGTACTCCTCACTAAATTAATTATTATTAGGATCATCCAATATCAGTGGAAGAGATGGGCGGATAATATAGCACGCATAGGACAGGTGATGAATTCATATAAGTATTTGTCGAAAATCGTAAAGAGAAAATTTACTTGGACGACCCGGCCTTTGATTGGAGTATAATATTAAAATGTGTCTTAAAGGAATAGAACGGGAGATCTTGAAACTTCACAACGCTCAGACTGCTTCTGCGCCTACCCAGCTTCTTACCGGATTATTATCCCACAGTGATGCAGCCGGGATACGAAGCCAAAAACTCACCTCTATCGAGTGCTAAAGTTAAAAATCTTCTGCCTCTACACATTTTCATGGAGCTCTTATGATATTAAGCACAGGAAAAGTTTTAGACCATCACGTGAACAGAAATATTTTTCGGGAAGACAATGATAAAATTCCGGCGCTAAACTCACTCTAAATGTAGGTCATGTGATATCTGTTTACTGCAGGAGAATGACTGGAGGCATGAAATAAAATGTCTTTAAAAAATGTAATGTCGTAAAACTCAAGTTTTTCTTCATTGAAACAACGAAATTAACTGTGATGTAAAGAAAGCATCGCGGTTTGAAGGCCTCGAATATATTTGTTACGCGCTTCATGGAGTATATTACGGTATTTCACTGAAGAGGGTTAAGGTATGTATTTAATTAAATATTAATAAGTGATAAACTTCTGGCTGCTGTTGGTGATGCTCAAAATAAATTAACACTAATGGTTTTAAATCTCAATCAAACAAGATCATATTTTAGGCTTGGCTATTTAAAGAAGGATGGTCACGGTAGCCGAGCGGTCTAAGGCATGTAGTGTTTCGCTCGTTTGGAAACCGGGATCGTGGGTTCGAATCCCACTCAGGGCATGGATGTTTAGTTTGTGTGTGTGTGTGCGTTTTTCTGTGCTTGTGTACGAGCTGATCACCTGCCCAAGGAGTCCTACCGAATATGTAAGATCTAAAAAAACCGAAGTGAACGGAGAAGTTCATGGAGGTACGCCTAGGCCCACTGGGGCTGTAGTGCCAAGGAGAAAAAAATTTAAAAAGATGGAACTCAGCCCCTTTAATGAGTGGTATAATCTCTCATTTCTCCATGAGAAGTTCTGGCACTTCGTAGGGCAGAAAGTTATGGGAAAGTCGTCGTCGGAGTCCCCTGGCCCCACATCTCGTCAGTTATTCCTTGTGGGATACGCGAAACAGAGCGTGTGCAAATGAAAACATGGCAGTGACCAATAAACAGTTAACTGGTGTTAAAAGTTTACGACCTTGAACAACGATAAAAAGAACTCGGTCTGTCTACAGCCACTTGCTATGTGTATGTTTGAGCAGCATGAGCAGTGGCACTTACAAACTTACATTTATTCCTTGATTATTATTTTATTTCGAATGAGCGAATTGATCTTGATGAAGTATTTAACGTTATGAGCGGATTTGTAATTACGTACGCGTCTCAGTTTCTTGTTTAACTCTGAAAAAAATAATTGGATATTGCAACTGTAACCGTACGTTCCTCGCTGAAATTATTTAACTAAGGGCATAACCAATTGAGGCACTGTTTCACACCATGAGAGACGCTCCTCCTGTGGGATACAATCCCGGGACCGTCTAGTTATAATTCAACTATTGTCTTCCTTAAGGTGGGAATACACGAGAGCGCCGCTGCTGTAATGCAACATAGATCGAACGGGATTCGCGACTTATTCGTTCGTGTGTACGTGACTTTGAACACGCGCAGCGCACGCCTCAAATGCCGCGCAGCGATCCGGTTCCTGTCGGTTTTTCTGACGAACACAAAGGGATTCGTTGCCGCAGTGTGGCCGGGTTCGGTTGCCATTTGTCTCGTGAAGCGCGCACGCCTCAAACATGGAGTGGTCAGAAGAAGATATTTTGGGGCTCATAGAGGCATACAAATCATTCCCTGTACTGTGGAATCCCGGAGAAAACGATTATTATAAAAAGCAAAGCTTCCTCGTCTTCCTTGGTCGTGTGGATGACGAAGACAGACTGGAACTGAGGTGCTCGCGGCTTGCGCGCCTCTTTCAGATGGTTCGTTGCTTGCGCGTCGCTTGTTCGAGGTGCACCAAATCACTCCGCGCAACACTTGTAATGCCGCGTTACAGCCGCAGCGCGCTCCTGTATTCCAACCCATAGGCTTAGGGTGCCACTATTGTCCCTAGCGTCGCCAGTTTGCTCCTAGTGTCATAAACCCATGTGCTGACGTTGTGCGAGACCGGCCAGGAGGGGTCTTGGGTTTCTTGCTCCTGTGCCTTGAAGACCTTAAAAGGTTTATGATGGGCATCTCGAAAAATACAAATGTAGGACAGATGCCGGGCTCGACCCCTGGCCTTCTCTTGTTATTTTTCTTCTTTTGTTTTATGCCCACTGGGGGACTTGTAAAGAGATGGCAGTCAGTTATAGGGAGCGGAGGAGGACGGTTGGTGAAATGTAGACAGAGGGCAGAGAAGTGTTTTACAGTAGGGGTAGCGAGTAGGATGGACGGAGCGGCTAATGTGAAGATTGATCACTGTACGAAAGTTTACATTACGATTGCAATACACGGTGTGTTCTGGAGAACCCGGATTCATGAACCCCGAAGTGAGTTCCACTCCCATATCCGAAGCACCCGTATCCCTGAGATAAAGAACTCATCTCGAGTAACAGTCGTGTCAGCTGTACGTCGGCGGGCGGCTACATAACATTTTAATAATAATTCAGGGTCACTGTAATGACCATGGGATAATTGTTTCAGATATTTACTTTGGCGCTTGCGGCAGAGAGCGTGGTTGTCAAGAATAAAAGCGAGGGAGATAAGAAACAACAGAAGAGAGGAAATGTAGAAACCAGCTCCAGTGGTGTTTCCGGGAGCACTGGATATAGCATCGGCACAGCTGGGGAACTTGGCAGCGCCGAAAAGTACAGCTACGGGGGATATGACCTGAGTTCTGGAAGCACTGGCCTCGGTTCCGGAAGTATTGGTGATGGAAAGTTTGGCCTTATATCAGGAAGTACGGGCTATGGAAAAGTTGGCCTTATTTCAGAAAGCACTGGTCATGGAAATGTTGCCCTTATTTTAGGAAACATTGGTCAGGATAATCATGGCCTCAGTTCCGCCAGGGGGCTTCTTAGTTCCGGGGGCTACGGTCTTCGAGGATACAATTTGGGTTCTCACCTCACTTCCGGCAGCATTGGTCCTGGAAGCATTGGCATCAGTTCCGGTGGAAGCTCCGGTAAGGTTATTTTACTCGGTTCACGTGGACTTGGACATAGTTCTGGACTTGAAGGAATTGGTGTTGGCTCCGGAATTTTCGGTGGAGCTGGATTTTATGGTGGCATTCCTAGTACGGACAGTGGAACAGGTCAAGTTCAGGTAACAACCGTGACACAAAAAGTACCAGTCCCTGTCCCTCAGCCAGTACCAGTCATAGTTAACAGACCCGTCCCTGTGTCCGTCCCTGCTCCCTACCCAGTGGAAGTGCCTCGGCCTGTCCCAGTGTCTATTCCCCAAGCAGTACGTGTTACCGTGATTAGGCCCTACCCTGTCACCGTCAGTCGTCCCGTCCCTGTCCCTGTGCCTCAGCACGTTCCGATAGCCGTAGCTAGCCCGTACGCTGTTGCGGTCCCTCGGCCTGTACCCGTGCAAGTCTCCCAACCTGTGGCTGTTGCAGTCCCGTTGCCTCAGCCGGTACTTGTGTCGTCCATTAGTGAAAGTGGTTATTCTGGTGGTGTAGGGGGCCTCAGTTCGTCTGCCGGAGGTGGTTACGCCACTGGATCAAGTCATGGTTCGCCTGTGTCTTCAATTGGAGCAGGTGGTTACGCTGGTGTTGTAGGGCCGCTGGGACTATCATCCGGAGGTGGCTATGCATATGGATCAAGCTATGGTTCTGGTTTAAGCCTGGGACACGTTTCAACGCCTCTGAAAGGAGTGTACGTTCCGAGCTACCTGGGCGGCCTTCATGGTTCTTCCGGCGGCCAAAGTAGTTCCCATGGCGCTTCTGGAGGTTATGGAAGTGCCGATTATGCGGGTAGCTCATCGGCAGGATCCGGTTATGGGAGTTATACCAAGAGCTAAACGTGGATCATGAAAGTAGGCTTTAGTGATGACACCAGGAATATAATGAATAAGTATGACATGCCATGACTGAAAAATGCGATTTCATTATATTTGCGCTTAAAATTGACACCAAGTCATCATTGTGATAAGAGTTGTGTTTTTCAGTGACCGCAATCTTCAGTGTAAAACCGTTGGTTCATTTATGTGAGACGATAACATCTGTGTAATATTCAGTCCATTTGGTACACATTGTATTTTAATTAAAATTACAAGAAATAAACTTGGTTATTTTTATATATGTTAGTGAAAAATATTCCTTAAAATATTATAATAAGTTATAGACAGTATTCTCTATGACACTGCCCTCTTGTGCTTCATAATAATTATTATTGCTGGACATTTGTACTTCGAATGTACTGCAATACAACATCACGATATTAAATTTTCGCATATTTCCCGTTCAATTCTTGAGGCGAATGCATAAACAGCAGTTAATTTCTGTCCCTCTTGACATGTAACATCCAAAGAACATCTACATACTTTCAAGACACTGTATATAAGTGTGGATTTTGGGGTATGACAACGTGTTATAATTTTATAGGAGGGTAGCAATATTTCAGAATACTAAAGACCAATTTATGGAAATTTGCCTTTATGAAACACCCAAATCTTACATTAAAATTCTAATTAAATTTTCATTTAGAATTACGTTGATATGAAGTAGAAAGATTTAGTAAATATTTCTTTCTCTATTTTTACTGTTTAATGGTCGCCAGTACAACCTATACGGTTACCTAAAACTTAATCACTACATGTTCCCACACTTTCAGTCATTCTAAGGTGGTAAGGTAAAGTTGTCCCTGTGCTTAACTAATTAAGCACTACTCCATGAAGGCGTTTGAGGAGTGGATGTATAGATCCACATTTTCTTGCCCTCGGTACTAGCTGGAGGTGAGTGGTCAGCTTCACTCCTCTACCGCTTTAACCCCTGGAAAATAGCCCTCGGTACCCATTGGATAGGAGGTTGGGTGGACCCAGAGCCGATATGGACGACACGGAGAAGAGAAAATTCTTGACACTACCGGGACTCGAACTCCGCTCCCTTGGTCGTCCAGCCCGTAGCCAGTCGCTATACCTACTACGCTACCCCGGCTCCTCAATTCAATTTCAAAAACTCTAATTATTCTAATTATTAAACTTTCGCTATAAATCATTCAATAATTAGGGCTTTATATGTCGTACCATTTGAGGACGACAGAAAAGTTGAAACATGGAGCCGTTCTTAATAACTATAAGATATGCAGAAAGGTAGTTTTGTGGGTATTAAAGAATTAGAAATAAACAATAATTCTGGAGAAACTAATTGCCGACTTTCTTTTTTATACGACATTTACCGCAGAGAAAACAACGCGTCCGGCAACTGTCCTATTGTTGCGTGTATTCGTTGCAACGGGAAGGTTCTTACTGAACCTTTGCCTAGTAATGATAAGGAGGGATACACACACAGATACACAGTGACATAATCCCATAAGCCTATTTTATTCAAGTAAGGGAATTATGGTGGAAAACATGTGGACTTGCCTACAGGTATATGATAATAAAATGGCCGTTGCCTATTAACGGTAGTAACTTGTTTACTGCCTCTGTCTCTGTCGCTGTCTCTCTGCATTTTGGTTGTTACACAAAGGGTTCCTATTTCATCGCCTCCTTCGACTTGCAGGGCTACGGTGGAGGTATTCGACTCCGCCTCCATACGCCCCTCAGTGTTGGTTTCGGTCCCGGTACAGAGTCTTGGCGTGGCCAACACAGAAAATTACTTCTCCAATTTTTCTCTATTTTTGTATGTATATTTTCCAACAATTCCTCCACTAGTGCGTCAGCTTCTGTGTCCGCAAAAACGTCTTTACATAGCCGATGGCAACGACCGGCTGTTTAGGCCGCTGTATCCTAACAATGGATGTTTCTTCTCGCACCGTAATTCTGGCTTTGAGTCATCATGTCAAAATATTATAAAGCGTAAATCGTGAAACAATTTCAAAATGGATTTATTGACCTGTAGTTAAGTGATTCTGTTGCAGATAAAATTGCATTACGAGAAGTTCCTTTAAAATGTACTCTTCCCCGCATATCATTACGACGATAAAATCAAGGAAGATTAGCTGAGCGGTAATGTAGCAAACGCGTAAGAAACTGTGTCTTGACAAAATTAAGAGTTTCTTGAGAAACTTAACTTCAAATAAGAATACGGAATTAACAAACAAGAAGTTTTGGGAATAACTAAATGCCTACTTTCCTTGATATGACACGGACCCCCTACAAAACGATACCTCCAACAATTCTTCAAATATTGCGTGTGTGTATCGAGCCGTTTTCTAGCAACGATAGGAGATTTTTACCGTACCTGTACCTAGCAACGAGAAGAGATGCACATACTGATGAGAGGGTTTTATGTAGTACGCTGCTGAGATGAGCTCAGATGCCATGATAAACATACCGAGATTTATAGAGAATGTTCAGCTATTCAAAGGTTTATGCGAGGGTCCACAGATACACCGACAGCATGGTGATAGCATTAGCACATTTTAATGTAGTCTAAGAACTGAAGAAAACGAGTATGAGAGGCGGATTGGATTTAACGGTCACNCATACCTACACGACGCCACATCCCAGAAGACGGGTTTCTTCATAGTCACAGCCGTGAAAACCTAAAATCTTACAAGAACTAATGAACTTAACTTCATGGAGCTGGACCCTTCTTGAAAAGCAAGGAGTCAGTCAGCTACTACAGAATTTCCTGGTATTTTATAGAAACCGAATGTATCATTATCGTGGCCACATGAGCCCGCCATTAGTCTGTATCGTGAGCCAAATCAATCCACTCCATACCACTCCATCCTATCTCTCTAAGATCCTTTGTAATATTATCCTCCTACATATTTCTAGGTCTTCCTACTGGTCCCTTTCCTTCTGGTTCTCCCATTAAAACCTTTATATGCACCTTCTTTTTCCACATATGTGTTACAGGCCCCGTCCACCTAATCCTTCTTGACTTGATCGTTCTAATTATTTTTGGAGTATGGCTTTTGGGTCGAGTCAGCCTCTAACAGAAATGAGTACCAGGAATCTTCCTGGGGGTAATGGGTGACCGGCGCGTAAAGCTGACAACGTCACCGCCATCTGTGAGCCGATTGTCTAGAAAATGTGGGAACCTCAACATCTCACAACTCTATGGGCCTCCAAGGCCTATTACAAGGATACTTTACTTACTTTTACCACATTTCCAAAGGATCTATCAGTTGTCTTTATATTACGACTTTGTCCTGGATTCCGCTGACGAAACAGCAACATAGGCTTCGTCTTCCCTGTGTTTTCGTCTAGACCAGGCATGTCAAACTCAAATTGTACAGAGGGCCACCTCAGCCCTATAAATAATAGTCCAGGGCCGCACTTCAAAATAGAAATATACATTAGATTTTGATACAAGGAAATTTAATTCTATTTATTATTTAGGAATAATTTCAATATAACTACCTAGTCACATATCATACAGTTTTAAAAAGTAAGAGAATGCCATTTTTGACAAGTATCAAGCAGCTTTTCAATATATAAAAAGAGAGATTACAGAAGAAATTATGTTAGAAATAGCAAAACATTGAATTTCTGCAGCCTGCTAATTTATGTCTGAGTGAGACTTCTTGTCTTCTGGTCTGTTGGAAAACTGTCTTTACAAAAAATATTTCTACTAAAATTTCAATATTGATTTTAATATCAGTTAGCTCTAAAAGCTGAGGGGCCGCATGTTTGACACGGCTGGTCTAGACCATCTACTTTACCAGCATCGCCAATGCAAATACTAGAGAGGACAGTTCTGAAATAAATGGTTGTATATTCAAGCCGGAACAGGACTTCAGAAAAGCCAAAAACATGCTCATGATAGATGTCTCTGTTAGACTATCCCGCCACTCCACAGGATCGCAACACAAACGCTGGTGCACAAATTATGATTAATGGAAGCGATCTAATACTTCTCTCCATGCTATTCAACACACAACCGTGAAAGTCGTGTCTGAATACACGGCTGGAATTGAAATGTTAAGCACAGCAATTTCTCTCCATTGCGATTGTGATCGTATGGCTTTGTGCGATGCCAGCCGTACACAGATGCCGACAGGATCACTGAAATGGGTACTCAGCCTTCTTGAGAAGCTGATAGTAACCGACGTGGTGAAGGAACTCTTTGTTTTGCAGAACTCCGATGTGTATTTACGTGATACGGGAGCCAGTCGGTGTATCACGTTGCGGGGCAGAAGAATCTGATCAGTGCCTTCAGAACTCTTTACCAGGAACTTAGAAACTTGTACTGCAGGGCCATAGCTCAGGCGGTTAGTTACTGGCTCCCCAAAGCGGCGGCCCGGGTTCAAGCCCAGTTCAGGTTATGTGCTATTTGTGGTGGACAAAGTGGCGCTGGGGCAGGTTTTCTCCGAGTACTTCGGTTTCCCCTGCCAATCTTCATTCCACCAATTGCTCCACAATCACCCTCACCTATCATCTGGGGCTGGTACAATAGGCCAGAAGTGGCCGCAGTACCAAGTAGACTCAGTCTCAGCCCACTAAGGAAAAAAATAGAACCTTGTACTCTTCACTTGTAACTATTAGGGTGAGCGATAAAATGAAGATAGATGGCTGGGCGGAACACTTGGCACGAATTAGAGGTATTATAAATAGATTACAATTTTAGATGAATAAGGACAAAAGAGCAGCGGGAGACCTGAACAAAATGAGAGGGTGACATTAAAATGAGTGAGGACTGATTCAACTGGCTCGGAGCGCAATGACGGAAGCTTGTAAACACGGTAATAAACCTCGGAGTAATTTCTCAATCAAATGAGCGACTATTGGTTTCCAGGTGAGGACTTGGTTCAAAGGAATTGGTTGCGTTTGAAATACTTATCTCCGTTAACTGTAACATTGGCTCCTGCTTTTGAAATTCTGGAGTACTGCATACATTTGGAGTCATTATGATGGAACCTAATATTCAAACTACATATAAAGCTGTTATATTTTAGCGTCCTGTTACACTGATTCATGTCCATGGTTTATGCTAAACGTCTTACAGTGTATACACTTTTTCACCTTATCCAGCAGTACAACGCATGCAGTAACAGGAGCAAAACACAACACAGAACACGATACACAAATATATGTAGGAAGAATGCTCACATAAAAGAG